TCTCTATCCCACACACAACACAACACGCACACCTCCCTCTCTCTCTCACACACAACACACACACGACACACACACACACCTCACAAACACACACACACACACACACTCATACACACACCTCCCTCTCACCACACACACACACAACACACACACACACACACACACACATACACACACACACAGCACACACACACAAAACACATACATACACACACACAGCGCGCGCGCGCACACTGCTTCTCTCTCTCTTCACTCTCCTCTCTCTTCTGACACCATTACACACCTCCCTCCTCAGGTTCTCACACACATCCACACACACACACGACAACACACACACCACACACACACACCACACACACACAACACACACGCCCACCTCTCTCTGACACTACACACACACACACAGCCACCATCAACACACACATCATCACACACATACACACCACACAAACACAAACACCACACACCAAACACACCACACACTACACACACACACCACACGCCACACCTCTCAGTCTCTTTCTCTCTGCTCTCTCCTCTCTCTTCTCGTTGCACATACACTACTCCCTCTCTGGTTCTTCTCTCCCTTCTCTCTCTCCTTCTCCTCTTCTCCCTGTCACACACACAACAAACCAACGCCACACCTCTATCTCTCTGCTTCTGCTTAGCTTCTACCTATCCCACCACACAAAAAACACGCCAACCTCCCTCTCTCTCTCTCCACACACACACCACCAGCACACACACACGACCACACACCACACACACCAACTGGGCGTGCGCGGCGGCTGCGCGGGCGGCACACCTCTGCTCTCTCGTCTCTCTCTTCTCTCTCTCTCTCTCTCTCTCTCTCTTCTCTCTCTTCTCTCTCGTCGCTCTCGCCTCACACACACGACACACGACAACACATCACACAGCACCCACACAGCGGCCACAGCACGCACACAGCACCACACACACGACAGGCAACGCCACCTCTCTCTCTCTCTCTGACACATAGCACACTCCTCTCTGGTTCTCTCTCTCTCTCTGCTGTCCCACACATAACACAAACACGCACACCTCCCTCACAGCACACACACACACACCACACAACACAACACACACACACAACACACACACACACACACACATCACAACACACAACACACACACACACAACACAAAACACACATCACATACACAACACACACACACACACACACACACACACACACACACACACACACACACACACGCGCGCGCGGCACCACCTCTCTCTCTCTCTCTCTCTCTCTCTCTCTCTCTCTCTCTCTCTTTCTTCTCTCTCTCTCTCTCTCTCTCTCTATTGTCTCTTCTGACAATACACACTCCTCTCAGGATCTCACACTCACTACCACACACACACACACACACCACCACCACACACACACACAACACAAACACAACCTCTCTCTGACACTACACACTCCTGCGCTATAGCTTCTCTCTACTCTCTCTCTCTCTCTCCCTCTCTCGTCTCTTCTCTCTCTCTATCTGTCACACATACAACACAAAACACGCACACCTCTCTCGTCTCACACACCACACATGCAACCTCTCTTCTCCTTCTTCTCTCTCTTCTCTCTCTTGACACATAACACGCTCCCTTCTCTGGTTCTCTCTCCTCTCCTCTCTCTCTCTACTTCTTCGTCTCTTTCTCTTTCTCTCTTCTGTCACATCACACAAACTACACGACACACTCCCTCCTATCCTCTCGTCTCCTTCACACACACACACACACACACAAACCACCACACACACACACACACACACACACACACACACACACACACACACACACACACACACACATACACACACAACACACACCACAAAACACACACACACACACACACACACACCCACACACACAAACACGCACACCTCCCTCTCTGGTTCTCTTTCTCTCTCTTTTCGAAAAGCGGGCAAATCGCAACTAATGAATATTCTGTAGAAAGATGCATCCTAGCCAGATTTGCCTATCATTGACATCGTTAAAACATGTACCATTATTGATGGTATGGCAGTGGTACAATCCATTAGGAAACCGACAACAGCAGTTACGTTTGCTGACTTAGCAGATGTGTTTGTGAACTGTGTGAAGTCACACGGTAGCAATTCTGACAGGATAGATATTATATTTGATTGATACGAGGAGAATTCTATTAAAAAAAGGTACACGAGAAAGACGACGATCAAAGACAAAACAAATTAGGCGGTTGATTACAGATAAAGACACAAAACTCCCTCAGAACTGGAAGACATTTATCACTCTCGCTGAAAACAAAGCCGATCTTGCTCGTTTCTTGTCAGTGGAATTGATCATCTCTAGTGAACTTGGCGGCAAAGAGATCATTGTGTGTGGAGGGTTTACGGAAATGACGAAAACGATATGTACCTCGGAACGTGATGTGTCAACACTTTCAGCAAACCACGAGAAGGCTGACACGCGAATTGTTCTTCATGCGTGCGATGCTGCAGACCACGGATATGAGCGAACGATTGTAGTTTGCAGGGATACCGATGTGTTAGTGATGCTAGCAGTGTTTTCGGCAAAGTTGTCGCAGGAGGTTTGGATGAAGGCAGGAACATCAATAGCTTTTCGGATGATAAGAGTCCATGACATTCCAATAAACAACAACACTCGAAAGGAATTGTTAGCTTTTCATGCGCTAACGGGAAGTGACACGACGAGTCAGTTTGCAGGAATTTCTAAAAACGCTGCATGGAAATTATTCGTTGAAGATCCAGAGCGCATTCATGGGTTGGAACAGAATGTACCACTATCACCTAGATTAATTGCTATCATCAGTGGAAGCATTTATATGTAAACTGTATGATCCAACGACAACATCGGTAGTCATACAGGAGATTCGCTTGTTGAAGTTCTTCCAATGCAAGACGAATATTGCCACCAACGAAAGACGCACTGATACTACATTGTCATCGAGCCCACTATCAGAGCCTCATTTGGAACCAGTGTGTAGATAGTATTCAGAGCATTCCATCGGCATTTGACTGCGGTTGGTATATGTAGGATGGCATTCTGAAACCACGGCTCATGACACTGAATCCACTTCGTGCCAATACAATTGCAATAAAGACATGTGGCTGTAGTAAGGACGGACCTTGTTGCCGTACACGTAGCTGTACATGTACCAAAAACAATATGTGCTGCACCGGTGCGTGCAAATGCAACATGGTCTGTATGAACCTATACAACAATGTTATTGGGTGTGACTGTTTTAGAACTACATATTCGGACAATTCTGGTATGCTTATATATGTTTTATGTTGGCTTAGACTGTTATATATAGAGTAATAATAGTAATGGAGTAACATACCACTATGTTGAAATCCTAGATGGCCGCCATCCTATGCTTTTTGTCATAATTCTGTTCTCCATTATCGAAAATGTGGGTTTAGACACCAAAACTATGTCTCTACGACGTCTTGGAGTCAGTTATTCAAAATAAACAAATTTCACTGGCGGCGATCTTGAAATCCAAGATGGCCGCCATCCTATGCTTTTCTAAGTGTGATAATTGGGTTCTCCATTATCGAAAATGTGGGTATAGCCACCAACATGTCTCTACGACGTCTGGGAGTCCAGATATTTCATAAAATCCATTTTCGCTGGCGGTCATTTTGGATTTCAAGATGGCCGCCACAATAAGCAAAAGTCAGCCTGGAAACATACCCAGTGAAACTCCCCAAGTATCCTAGAAATGATATTTACCCGTTTCCAGCCTCTACCCCAAAAAGTTTAGGGTCATCCTTATTTCAACTCTTTTTGAAATCTGCCCCCTGACTATTATAGCCAAAACCAAAATACCCGTTCACCTGTGAGGGGGGGCTGTACGAAGTTTCACAATTCTAACCAAAAGTACACAATGTGCCCATTTTTATGTATCCGCTAGACTATAGCGTCATCTGTCGGGACAGATTTAGTGGCATCTACTGAGTATGCACCATAGAAATAGAAATAGAAGTCTATTTCTAGAAGCACCATAGAAGACTTTCTATTTATAGTGCTATGGTATGCACTTCCAGATTGTCTTCAAAATCATGTCACTAAGACCCCACAGAGGCTAACGCATCCGTTACTGTGGCATCCGGTAGGGAGGAGAAATGGAAGCTGTCCATACCTAGTATTGGGGGGGGGAATATACGTCTTATAGATGTAAATTAAGTAAGTGTAAATGACACTGCAGCCATCCGTTAAATCCTAGTGTCACGCCCACTGTCCCCTCGTTTAGTATTAAAAATGAAAGATTCCAATAAAAATAATAATAATAGTATTCAATAAATCAATAATCATCAATAATATTAATGAGATTCCTTCATTAATTGAAGGGATCCGTTAGTTTTGGGGCGTGGGAGGATTGGACCATTATATTTATCTGTAAACTGCGAAATACCTGGTAAATCATTTGTGATTCAGGAATAGTAGTCAACCGGGAAGCCGGAAAGCCAAAATTGTGATTTTAATTAACCGAAAACTGGAAACTGAAACTGAGAAATGGCATATTTTTATTCGGTGGAAACTGAGAATGGACCAGCCTTGTTCCCATCCTTCTTTATAAGGCGCGTAATTTTTTTAAACTAAAGTTGCTTCCTAAAGCGTGCGATCGATTCCAGGGTAAGCTATGTCTGTGCACAATCTGCAATCTGCTAAAAGAAATAATGCTTTGTTGAAAATTCTTCTTTAGAAAAACTGGATATCCCTCAAATAATAATGACCAAGAGCCCAATTTACTCACACCCGGATTCCTCGTAATGTCGAGTGAAATTATTACGCATTTGTTTGCCGTTGGATGGCGCTAGTGTCACGCATTAGTAGTAGTGTATTATGGAAATCACATATATACAGGAGTATATAATAAGCCATGATGCCAAACAAATCAAATAGATACATATATAGTTCTGTTGAAACTATATGCACTTGTAGAGGACTCATAACCACGAGAAGCTTGGTATATAAAAACTGTCGATTCCAATGCTTCGCTTTATTCATTACAAGGCGCACAGTCTTCGGATCTTTGACTACAAATTTGTGTCATAGATTATAAAATACCTAGGACCTCGCTGCGCGCAATTAATAGTAACTTATTAGAGGTCAAGTATAGAGGATAGCACTGAGAGTTTATTCTCAGCGTAGTTAAATAACACCTATAAGCTAGGACAACATAGTGTGACACATTACGTTAACAAAGCAATATTTAATATATTTGGCAGATTTGATAAAATCTCCGGAACGTTTTATACCGACTTAAAAACAGCATCGCTGCCGGTGAACCACATAAACCACCAGCTTTATTGATGTAGATATCTGCTTATCTGTCGATTTGTCTGTTTATCTATCTAATAATCTATTTCTTTAACTGTTTACCTATCTAGCTATCTAGCTATAGGTATATCTATATATCTATCAGGGGGAAATCTAACAGCCATGCTCATTCAGGCTCTGGCAGTGTTACATGCTAACTTGCCAAGACAGGTGCGTTGAAACTTGGCATTTTACCATTGTAGCGTTCACTAGTTAGACGAATAACGAAATTACACAGATGACCTATAGATCCTGTTTGCTTCCAAATTGAAAAAAAACGTTAACGCATCAATCCACCAGGTTCGCTAGCGTCGAACTCGAGCTTCAGCATTGCACAGTCCATAGGTTTTTTTGTTCGATGACGAAGAAATTGTTCGTAATATTACCAGGAGTGTATAATATAGATGCACTCCTGATCCTATATTGTACCTTCTGGTTCTATATCCTGGCATATATCCTGGTTCTATATCCTGGCATATATCCTGGTTCTTTATCCTGGCATATATCCTGGTTCTATATCCTGGCATATATCCTGGTTCTATATCTTGGTATATTATGCTTCCTGTTTCTATATTATACACTCCTGATATTATTAGTATCTGGTGCGCTACGCGTGCCGGAGCAGTTTCAGCTTTGTGGCAGCACAGGACGGACAGAGCAGGCGCTTGTGGTCCATGTGGAATCTATCTTTGAGCAGCGAGTCTTTACAGTTATCACACTTGAAGCAGTGGCGGTGCCAGGCTCTCTCCTCGAACGCTATGTAGTTCTTCGAGTTGGGACCTGCGGTTTAAAGGATTTATTACTGGAAGCTTTCTTACCGTTGGACCATTGTTCATAATACATGACAGACTAGGATAATAAGATACATGTGTAATAGGATAGTAGGATAAGAATATTAGTATTATAAGAATATATACGGATAATAGGGTAATAGGATAAGAATATTAGGGTTAGGGGTCGCAAGAATGGTAACCTATCGAATTGACATTAATGCATGCATGTCTTACTGTTTGTGTAGCATATGGAAATTGACGCAGTTATGGGATGAATTTATTTAGGCATCTACAATAAAGTCTTTACCTGGTAAATGCATTTGTCTCTATAACGACGGCAACAGTTTTGCTTACCTATTAGCGGTTTCTTGCAGCGATAGCAGCGCCTGACGAAGTTAGCGAGGTAGCATTCAGTGCAGTATGCTTTTCCCTCGTGAGGTGTGAATAGCTTGCCGGCGAGAACCAGAAAGCACTTTTGGCAGACGAAGCAGTGCTCGTGGTATTTTTGTCCGGCGAAGGAAATCCCATCGAGTAAAATGGCCTGAAGGACGAATAGAACGTTCAACTGTATGTGGAGTTACGGCGTATTGGGCCCTCCCTCTCCCTCTCTGTGTCTCCATCTCTCTGTCGCCGTCTCTCTCTCTCTCTCTCTCTCTCTCTCTCTCTCTCTCTCTCTCTCTCTCTCTCTCTGTCTCTCTCTCTCGCTCGCTCGCTCTTTCTTTCTGTCCTCCCTCCCTTCCTCTCTCTCTCT